GAAGCCACTCCAAAGCTCAAGGTATTTATAAAGTAGATCGTGTTTCACTTACGAAAGCGAGTTCGCAACATTCTTTGCGACAATGGTCTGGAATTCAAAAACCAAGCGTTTGAAGATTTTCTAACTGCGAAAAGAGTTACTCACAAACTTTCAACTCCTTACACTCCTCAACAAAACAGGGTCGTTGAAAAATGAAACCACTCATTGTGCGAAGCTGCAAGAACCATGCTATCATTTGAGAATCTGTCGCTTTGCTTCTGGGCGGATGCTATTGGAACAACCTGATTTACCCAAAAATCGATCAATTCTCAATAAGCGATTTTTTGTTACTCCCAATGAAATTTTGAATAATAGAAACCTAATGTCAAGTTCTTTCATGTATTTGACTCCAGGTGCTTTATTTTCAATTCCAAAGAGCAAAGGAAAAAATTCGAGGTGAAGGCTGATGAATGTATTTTCTTAGGGTATTCTCTGACTTCTAAGGCATATATGGTTCTCAACAAAAAGTCCAAAAAGATATAAGAAACCTACTATGTCATATTTGATGAAAACTATTTGAAGAATTATTAGAAGAATTAAAATCAATCAAAAGAGATCTTTCCCAAGCCGAATCCAGTTACATTTCTACTCTCCAATCTCCTTGACGAGTTCTTGATCTTGTTCGACGAGCCAAAAAAGGTCGTCTCCTCTGGATCCAAAGCCAGATACAGCAAGGAATACGAACTAAAGAAAATCATTGATGATGTTGCGAAAGATATGGAACACGAGCACCCCACTCCGAAAGACTCTAAAATTTCGTCTCAATCACAAGGTGCAAGTGCTACACCACAGGGGGAGGGTTTTACTTCAACCTCTTCAATTCATACACCTATTCAGGGGGAGAACAAAACCCATGAAATCAGCAAAGAACCATCACTCCAGGGGCAGAATGAAAATATGAATGAAGAAAACCATACATCTGAATCATCGATGATTCAGATGTGTAGTCAGAGTTTGAAGAAGTGAACGCTAAATTGGATCCAACATATAATCCTAATTACCCTCCATTATCCAAATGGATCAAAGATCATCCAAAAACTCAAGTAATACGACATTCGTCTTCAGGAGTTCTTACGGGAGCACAATAAACAACAAAGCAGACTGCATAATTATCTAAAATGTAATATTGCATGTTCAACTCGTTTATCTCCAAAATTAAACCCAAAAATGTTCAAATTGATCTTGATCATTCTGATTGGGTGCAAGCAATGCAGGATGAGCTCAATGAATTCGAGCGAAACAAGGCCTGAAGACTTATTCCCACTCTAAAGGATGCTTCTATTGTTGGTCTAAAATGGGTGTTTCGTAACAAGTTAGACAAAGAGGGAAATATGATAAGAAACAAGGTGCGGCTAGTTGTTAAGGGATATTACCAGGAAGAAGGTATAGATTACGAAGAAACATTCGCACCAGTTGCAACACTGGAATCAGTTCGCATCTTCGTGGCATACACTGGACACAAGAACTTTGAAGTATATCAGATGGACGTTAAGTGTGCCTTTCTGAACAGGGAACTAGACGAAACGGTCTATGAGGAACTACTAACAGGGTTCATAAATGAAAAATATCTGAACCACTGTTATATTTTGGACAAAGTAGTTTATGGTCTAAAGCAAGCTCCAAGAGCCTGGTATGAAACTCTTACTTGTGCTTTAAAACAGCCTAAAGTTCAACAAGGATCGGTTGACCCAACCTTCTTTTGTAAGAAAGATGGTGACCACTTGATGATCGCCCAAATTTATGTTGATGACATCATCTTCGGATCAACTAACCCCAGCTTAACTGTTGAGTCCCGAAAGTTGATGGAAACTAAATTTGTGATGAGCTCCATGGGTCCGATTAACTTATTCCTTAGTTTGAATATAACTCAGAGTCAGGAAGGTCTCTTTATCAATCAGGAGGCTTATACAAAGACCTTACTCTTTAAGTATGGAATGGTGGGAAATTCGAAAGTGAAGGTTTCAATGGCATTCGGAAAGAAACTAACATCATCTTTGGATAAACAGGCAGCTGATATGACACTTTATCATCAAATGATAGGGTCCTTAATGTATATAATCGTGAGTCGTCCAAACATCTTGTTTTCTGTTTGCTATTGTGCCACGTTTCAAACGAATTCTTGCGAATCCCACATGACCGTTATCAAGAACATATTTAGGTATCTCAAACAAACATCCTCGCTCGGAATATGGTACCCTTTAAGTCCAGGTTTCTTTATGCAAGCATTTTCAAATGCTGATCTCGGAAGTTGTGGGCTAGATCCAAAGAGTACAACGGGTGGATGTCAATTCCTTGATGGAAAACTCGTAAGTTGGCATTCTAAAAAACAAACTTGCGTCTCCCTATCAACTGCTGAAGCATAGTACATAGTCATTGCCTCTTGTACTTAACAAGTTATTTAGATTCAAAGTCAGCTTCGTGACAATGACATTAACATGAAGCCAATCCCTTTGTATTGCGATTCTGAAAGTGCCATTCACATATGTCACAAACCAGTGCAACATTCAAAGACCATACACATTGAGTTGAGGTATCACTTCATCAAAGATCATGTCGAAGATGGAAATGCCGAGATACAACTTGTTAGATTTGCTGATCAGCTGGACGACATCTTCACGAAAGCCTTGCTTGAACAAACCTATAATCGCATACTTCAAGGCTTTGGAATGATAAAGGCTGAATCTGTTCCAAAACCACCTTCGCACTCATAAAGTTTTGGTAGACCTGCGAATTGGTGTGAATGCTCGCAGTGACTCGCAGTCAATTAATCATCATGCGAATTGGTGTGAATGCTCGCGAATTGGTGCTATTTTATTTTTCTATTTTTATTTCTTTTGCAGAAAAACAAAATCCAAAAATATTTTATTTGATTTTGTTTTTACTTATTTATTTCTTTTTCAGAAAATTCAAAAATACAAAAATATTTTGTTTATTTTTATAGTTATTTCTTTTTATGAAAATATCAAAATACCAAAAATATTAGATAACTGAGAAGAACTGAAAAATCACATTCGTAATACACTCAGTTCTAAAAGATGGGACAGGTATAAAATCTAAATGTATGCACTAGTTAGGTGTCCCTATAAGCATGTTGCTGCATGTAGACCGCAACCTCGAAGACTCTATGTTGAACATTGCGAATAGTTCCCTACGTCTGTACCGAATTGTTCTCATAACACTCTCTAATGAAACAGTGATTTTATTTACCTTCTTGTGTTCATAACCTTTCAATTGTTATAATCATGCTTTCATTATAAAAATAGAATTTATATCGTTCCTTAAATTCTTAAACACACAAAGTAAGATTTATGCGTACTTCATATTCACAGGATCGTCATCAGGACTACTACAACTTCCATTAAGATTATTTATCCTAAATAATATTTTATCTTTAAACTTTATTTTATCGCTTCTATGATACATTTTATAACAAGATTTTCTACAAATATTATACACACACACACACACACACACACATATATATATATATATATATATATATATATATATATATATATATATATATATATATATATTAGATATATGCAGTAAAGTCCTAATATTTTCATCGATTTGACAAGAAAGTCCTAAACTTTGTGTTTTTGACAGTAAAGTTCAAATTACCGGCAATTTTTAACACTTTTACCATTTTTCCCCGGTTAGCCGGTAATTAGGACTTTTTTGTCAACAAAATAAAGTTTAGGACTTTCTTGTCAAATCGTCAATTATGACTTTACTGTCAAAAAGATAAACTTTAGGACTTTTTTTGTCAACTCATTGAAAAAATTTGGACTTTAGTGTATATATAATTTTTTTGGTTAGAAATTTAATGGTATGATACTCTTTAAGCATAAGAATTATTGAAACTTTCTCTAATCAGCTAGATCCTATTGAAATCATTTACGTTTGCTTATTGTTAAATCGTTTTTTTAATCTTAACAAACCGACATTGAAAAAAATTGAGATAATGAAGAAAGAAATAAAAAACCAGGGTTATGTTGGCTTTTTTCAATCTCAAAAATGGAGAAATTAGAAACCTAAAAAACGAAATTGCCATGGCTTTATACAAACACAAACAACACATGCCTATTCAAATGGGTGTGAATATCGAGAAGGGAAAGAAGGGCAATTTCGTTTTTTTTGGTTTCTTATTTCTCTATTTTTGGGGCTGCAAAAAGCCAACACAACCCTGGTTCTTTCTTTCCTTCTTTCTTTCTTTCTTGATTATCTTAATTTTTTTCAATGTCGATTTGTTGAGATTAAAAAAACGATTTAACAAAAAGCAAACGTTAAGGATTTTAATAGGATCTACCAGATTAGTGAAGGTTTCAATAACTCTTATGCTTAAAGAATATCATACGAATAAATTTCTAACCAAAAAATTATATATACACTAAAGACCCAATATTTTCAACGATTTGACAAAAAAGTTCTAAACTTTATTTTTTTGACAGTAAAGTCCTAATTGACGATTTGACAAGAAAATCCTAAACTTTATTTTTTTGACAAAAAAATCATAATTACCGGCTAACCGGGAAAAAAGGGTAAAATTGTCAAAAACTGCCGGTAATTTGGATTTTACTGTCAAAAAAATAATTTTAAGACTTTCTTGTCAAATCGATGAAAATATTGGGATTTTACTATATATATCCCTTCTTAATGCTATAAGAGTTGAAAAAATTGTCACAACCCAAAAACTTTAATTATTATTTCAACCATAACTTTAAGAAACCATCATTTTTTGTTTATATGATAACTTTAAAATAGTAAAAGGTTCCATTAAAATAGTAAAAGGTTCCATTAACTAAAGACTGACATAAGCTAAAACCAATGGCTTACATAAACTTAAACCAAACTAAAGAAAATAAAATCTAATGTTTTGCAAATCAAACATTCAAAATACTAACATTCTTCTACAGCTATAGCCTTTTCAGCCACTTTTTCCCTTTCATTTCTTCTTATCAAACTTCTTTATTTTTTTTCTTTGCCAACTTCTTCGCCTCATCAAACAAAACACATTTCTGCAATATATCTAGCTTTGAAAACTTATCATCTTCCTTCAAAAACATGTCTTTCTGCAGATTATGATCCGAGGTCATCAGTTTATACATATATTTGTACCTCAACCTTGATAATACTCCAACATCACAATGTTTTATTCCTTTAAATCCTGTTTCCCAATTCCCTACTAGATCTCCCTTGTAGAACTCCATGTGCCTCATCAGATATACACCACAATCAGGACCAATATTAAGGACTTCCCAAACCACTCTCATGAGTTTGGCTTCCTTTGAGTACAATTCAAACTGCATTGGACGGTTTTGTGCCATCAAGTAGTTGCAAAAGAACCGTTGTTGCAACAAAGATCAAATACATAATGTTAATCATAATTTATTTACATATAATTTTCATATTTCTTAAAATATAATAATAAAAATTCTTACAAGCGTTCGCAATATTTTTCCATATCTACTTTGCACTGATACATTTCCCATGATCAATAATCAAATATCTTCCTCTCTTTAAGTCGAAACACAACAGATAATACTTGTCAACATCATCTATCAGGACGAAAACCTGCTCAATCGATTAAAATTATTTAAATTCTATTTACATCAATTTTTTCTGAATGATATGTTTCATTATAAAATATACCAGTCCAACATCAGTGAAGTTTGTTTTGATATCAAAATTTCCGATGAACATCTCAAGCATTAAAGTGATCTCCTTAAGTCTAGTAAATTCTTCGTTCTGCAAAAATCAGTTAACCAATAATTACTATTTTAACAAATTTCATTTCTAATGAACTTAAAATAAAAACAACTATTGCATACCATAATATAATTATTAAAATATAGTCTTGTTGATGTTCATCTGAAACATCAAAGGAATTGTAACCAACCATTAAACACATTTTCTACACCTGTTCGTTTAAACGTCAAAGGAATTTCAATCAATCATTAATTCTTAGAGCATTATGTGTACAAGCATAGAAAAATATTAAAAGAACATTTACTAATATGCCCCAACACCACCCAACATCCCCTTAACATTGTAAAATAAATCTTAAAAAAAAAAAAAAAAAAAAAAAAAAAAAAAAATCTCGAATACCTTACTTTTTTAAACCCTAAATTGTTTTAAACTTAATTTCATACTAGATTTTCTAGGAATAACGCTTCATTCTTATAGAATAAACCATATTTGACAAATTGCATTAGAATTCTTGAAGAATAAATCACAAACTTATTTTAAACTAACCTAACCTGTTCAAACCTAACTTGTTCAAACCGAAACTTGTTTTGAACTAAATTTCAGAAAAAAAAATATGACATTAAATTAAGCTTTCATTCTTACAGAATGAACACTTTCTTTTTTTTTTTTTCTTTTTTTTTTTTTGCAAATTTGCACTTTGATTCTTGAAGATAAATCACAAAACATAAATAAAAAAAAAACATTTTCTGCCAGCGGTGGATCAACAAAATCATCGTCGTCGTCGATACGAAGTGGCGCAGATGTTGTGTTTGTGAACTTTGTTTTCAGATTCTCTCGTAATCTTGAGCTTGAACGGCTTCTCATTGTTTGATACTCGAGTCAGTGGCCGCTTCATTGCTTTGACTGTAAACCATCTATCATTCTTCTTATTGGTGTACTATAATTTTAGAATTGGGAATACAATACCTTTTAGAGTGGATGATTAATTTCTTTTTAATGAAATCATATATTTATGTGTTAATATCATAAACATTCTTCCCGAATAATATGGGATGCTATTAAATAGTGGAATGAAAGAATCGGGTTGTAGGAATGTAACATGCCGACTTCCTTTTTTAAAATCTGACAAAAATACCCAATTACCCTTCTAACAATATTATTAGCCATTTAATTTAAAATTTAAATATAAAATTTAATGAAATCAACACTCATTCCTAATCACATGATTTTTCTCATCCAATTGACCAATTTAGTCTTACATTCACACTGTATTCACCATTCACAATTAATCAAAACCATATATATATATATATATATATATATATATATATATATACACACACACACACACACACATATACATATATTGAAAGTTTGTATTTAATCAGATACACTTCACATATGAATAAGGAAAGCAAAACTAATCTAAGTAAAATAATCAACAGAAAGTAAATAACACATGAGTTCTCCAAATTGTTCCTTTCACCAAGAAAAGAGGTTTTGTCCTCACCAAAAAGACGGGTTTGTCACAAGGACGATTGACACAAAGCAACAAAAAAACTACTCGATCACCACCATTAGGGTTGTCCAATCTATACATGTATATACCATGATTGACGGGATTGTATATAATCTATACTAAGAACCAATCTTATCATAAAGATACGAGATCTAATATCTATTGTTTATTTATCTATAATAACTTCCTAATATACAAAGGTTTACAAATAGACAACTATACTATAAGGTGAAATTAGTAACCTTGATACACTGGTGATGTTAACATGTAGACGTTGACACTGATAGATCGACATATCATGTGTTTGACTCATCAGATCATAAGGTGTGACCTTACAATCTCCCCCTATCTGAAGATGTCAAAACTAAACGTCTTATGATATATAAGCGGAACGCGGAAATATTTTAGCTTGTGCTCCCCTTGAATATAATAATGAAGTCTTAATTCTTGCAATTCAAAAAGATGTTGCCCCTGGGAAGATGAATTGCAACAGACGACACACAAATAGATTCGAAATAAGCTTGAGCTGAGAACATTGATTTTAACTTGAATCGAATCCCCTTTAGAATATGCTTTTCTAGTAATGAGATTTCTTTCTTCAATGAGATTTTCAGTTTTACCAAGATTCTCTTCCCCTTTCTGAAATCAGCAGCTAACTTCAAGCATAATAGAATACCAACCTGTAGTCTAGTAAGATTGTGATGTCTCCTGATAGCATGAGTTTAAACTACCATTCTCTGACATAGTGTTGCGAGATCTCATCAACGTGTGGTGTCATATGCTAAAACATAAATATCTTTTATTAGGATAGAGATGGCAAGAGTGGATAGGTGTGTGTAATATATCACAGACGATGATATAACCATCGGCACAGATTTGTCAAGCTCTTATCAACACATCATACATTACATTGAATCATAAAACTTTAAAGAAGAATATAAGTGCAAGAATGGATTGATGTGTGTGATAGCTTACGATACACAGACTAACCATCGACATAGACTTTCAAACTTTTATCAGTGTGTGGTTTTATACAGTGAATCAACAAGCTCTATTAAGAAGATGAAGGAGAGAATGGATTGTTTCAATCATGCTGAGGGAAATCAGCATGAATCATTAACAGTTTAACACGTCAACAAGAAGTGTTTTAAACCTATGTATCATAGAGTTAGTTGCAATCTAGAATCAAAGATTCACGGTTAATTCATAATGGTACCATGTCTACCTCAAACGAGGAGGTCAGGGACATGAATAACCCTTTGTCACTTAAGGACCTGACAAGTATCTCTTACGCCGATGTTATGCAATCAGGGTAAGCCATTGGGTTTTGCTCAATGTTTCAAAAGAACATGAGACTTGATGCATACGGAAAGCATGCTTCCAGGGACAAGTTCAGGTAAAGATGATTTAATTTAAAATAAACACCCCAACCTTTTTATTAATATTTTTTATTGGACTAGGCAATCTCAATTAAAAGTTTAGACATTGCTAGACAATCAGCTTGGGAGGGTGACTCAATGTTCTCAGCAGATGGTATCGCTGATGAGAAACTTAGAGAAATTTTGTCACATACAACAACATGCTTCTAGGGACGAGGATGTGTCAAAAGTTACATACTAGGCTCAGAACTGCCACCGTCAGATTTCTTTACAATATGGTACTAAATAATAAATCATATAAGAAAACAAACAAAAGAATTAGTCAAACAAGAAAATAGTTTAAACAACGAAATATGTGTACTTTTTCAGAAAAGTGAGAAAGACATGATCCATAAAATCTTTGGAATTGAATGGTCATTAATGCACTTCTATTTTCCAAGATATCTACCAGTTGAAATTTCAGCTATAAAAGAGATCAACCACATCACATAAAAATAACACAATTCATCGTAAACAAAGAGAGAGAATGCCTTTAATCGATTAGGTTTTGCAGATTGAATCCAAGCTTCATGTTCACCAAGAACAAAAGAAGAACATGAAGCAATCTTTGTAACCAATGAGTTAAATGGATCCAATCTTTGTAACCTTTGAGTTATAAATGTCACCAAGACAACACTGAAGGTTCCATTCATTATGATCCCTAAAAAAGGTGGAATGGCAGTCTCCTTGAAGCCGCCTTTGGATCTTTGAAGTGATGAACTTGTAGTGACAACGTCTCTGTAAATTAGTCGTGCCAGGTCACCTAACTTCATCTCATACCATTGAAACAGAAAATAGGTTATTATAGAGGAGATATATATACATAAGAACATCCTTTGGTACAGTTATCCCCCATCTGATCTTATCAACATAAAAAACACACCAATCAGTGTGTGCAACAGCATCAGTGGAGGGCAGTTGTTGTTGAAGTAAAGATGTAGAGTCAGTGTCAACTGATTCACAAGGAGAGTGATGCATTCAAATAATGACATGATGATCCCTTCAAAGAAGATCAGGTAGAAGAGGTCACTATTGATAAAGAATATAATGTAGGAAATGTTAGTATAAAAAGAAAATATATTCGCAATTTATACTTCTTTGGTAAAAAAATTAAAGCAACCAAACCAAAAAAAAAATTAAAAGAGTTACAACTTATGTTCAAAATTTTTAGAAGTTGCAAATTATAAAGCAAAAATAAAGTATCAGCGTCAAAATCATCAAATCAAACCATATAAATATCATTCTCTCTGAGTGCAAAAATACAATTTTGTTTTCAGAATCAAACATTTTTCCCTCATGATGGTTGAAAAGAACTTTGTAACCAGTGTCACAAAGTTGACTGATGGAGATAAATTTTCCTTTTAGTCCTACATAAAACACTTCCTTCAGCTCAATTGTCCTGCACTCAAAAGTTCCAACACCTGTTATAGCTCTTCCACTAATTTCACCGAAAGTCACCATTGTACCATCATTCTTTGTAAAATTTGTTAGGAGAGACTTGTAGCTGATCAAGTGTCTAGAACTTCCACTATCTGGGTACCAAGTTTGACCTAGATTTGGACTTGATTAAGTGTCAGCGTGAGAACCATCAATGTCACATATGCGATCAGGATGATCATTTACAAGATCCATGATGCCCTTAACGTTCAACGCCTCATCTTGA